TGATGTGTCCATAAGGAAGAGAAAATAGATTTCTAGCTTTCTCGAGTAGCGTTTTAATCTCACTGGATCTCTCTTGACATCCTTAAGATTGTGATCTTTTCAAATACCGCACAGCATCTTTCGTGTTTCAAAATTTTCTAGGTGATTCTGCACAACAATCCAAAGCCAGTTCCAGAACAGATAATACAGAATTTGCTTTGGCAATGAAATGTGTTCCTCATTTCATCAAATAGCTTCATGGCCATAGCTAAATCCCCACACTGCAAAGCACCCTTAATCATTGAATTCCAAAAAACAGTATCCTTACGTGTATGTTGTCAAATTGTTGAATGCATTATCGAGCCTATAACTTTTCGCGTAACCAGTGATCATCTTGGTACATGAAGACGCACCAGAAAATGGGACTCTAACCCTCTTGTTCTTGACGTTAGTAAGAATTTGGAAGTAAGGGTTCTCGAATCAGCACAATTAGATTAATACCCGAAGATAAGGGGTAGAGATTGAGATCCCAGATACATGTTTGAAAGTTTGATTGGTGAATGGTGGCGCGAGACGTTAACACTAAACACTGCAAATGGACGATACGATACAACTTTTGATTGTAGCCAAGCCTTTTGTTATTTAAAAGTGGGCTGGGCCAATCCTCTAGGCCCTTATCAACACAAGGTTGTCACTTGTTTGGAGGTCCGTACTATTTGGGCTTAGGATGTCCGTACTGTTTGGGCCCTAGGGTTTATTTTTGAGATTTACAATAAAAGAAAACAAAAACAAAAACAAAATATTTTTCAAGCTAACCTCCAAAAATAAAATTGCAGAAGTATTTATAAAATTATTTAAATATTTATTAATAATATTTAAGCTTGATATTGTTGTTGCTATTATAACATTTTTCAAATTTGGAGGCGAATTGTGGTCCATCCAAATAACCTCAAACAGAAGTGTACGTGAAGGCAGGGGCAAATTAAGAATTTGAGAAGTCAATTTTGGCCTTTTCCGTCACTAGTAAAGACTTCCGATTTGGAAGTGACTGATGCAAGGATGCAAACTCTTATTTTTATTTTTGTAGTTTAATCAACCGAGCGATAACTACATCCAACCAAACGTGATAATAAAATTATAAGAAAGCAACAAAGCCTCGGCGCATTTTTAAAATTTGGAGGCGAATTCAGTCCCTCCAAACAGACTCAAATAAAAGTTTAGCCTTTGTTAACATTGCAGATGGTCGATACAATCGTTTGATTGAAGCCTAGCTTTGTTATTTAAAAGTGGACTGAACACAGCCTCACGGCCCTCGTCAGCAAAAGGTAGTTAAAACTTAGAAGGTTCGTAGTATTTGGGCTTAGAAGGTCCATTCTATTTGAGCTTTCGGTGTTTGTTCTCGAGATCTACAATAAAAGGAAAATATATTTTGCAATTTAGTAGAGAAAAAAAGGTGTAGTTCGGACGGTGAGCGCAGGCACTTATATAGTTATATGTCCTTAATAAGTATTCTCCTCATTTTTTCCTAAATATAGAGTGTTCTATTTATTTTGATTTATTAACACTATGTTAATATTTTCATATCTCATACTACACTAATATCTTATTTACTTAAAAAAAAATTTAACTCTTTTGATGGGTTAGGTCAATTTGTTTACACCCTCCTGAGGAGAGGGGCGGGGCAGAGTGAGGAGAAGTAATAGAAGTTCAAATCCTAATCCTATAAGTGAGAAGTTTCTGTTTGCTAATAGTTTTGTAAATTACTTTACAGACCTTCCAAACAAATAAAATTACTCTTAACCTTATAAAGTTGTACTTATTTATTGACTTACAATCTATTGCTTCATTAATTTTAATTGACTTTTTTTACTTAGAATAAATCAATATGCATAATCTATACAAAGAAGGCGGATTTTCAGATGAACCTATAGGTAGATTTTTCATCACCGTTAGTGCACTGCGCTCCACTGTATAATTAATCAACCCCAATGCAATATAAAGCAAGCCTCTCACTATGATATGACAACATCTCCCTTTTACTCATTCTCCACATCCTGCATGGAAAACCTTTGATCAGGAACATATCCAAGTTTCTTTAACTTCGCTCCCCACCAACCAATCTTTTGATATATCTTTTTACTGAGAGGATGGAACCTATCTCCAGAAAGAAACTCCTCTGCTGCTTCCAAATTCCAGCATCTACTCAAGATATCCACTACACAAACATAGTGCCGGACCTTCAACTTAGTGGAATCATATGTAATATACCCAAAAAAAAAAAAGAAACTCCCTTTTTGCAACATCCCAGAATGGCTGCAAGCAAAAAGCAAACCAGTGAATGTTCCGATCAAACCTGCCAATCATTGAAGTTCATGAAACCATTTTCCAACAAGGCATCTTCTCAAACAACCTCACAGCATCCTGACTCTCCCACACTGAGGATCTGTTAGGTTAGATAGCCACTTTATTAAAAATGTTTTTATTGAGAAAGTCATTAGGAAAGTTATTAAATTTTGTAATGAAATTGTATTTAAATTTTGTTAAGTTATTAATTTTGTTGTGTTATTAATTTTATTGTATTTAATAAAAAATTAATATAATGAAAATTGTTAAATAGACTCAATATAAGAAAGATTATAGGAAAACTTTTTTTCTTTCAAAATTAGTGAAAAGAAAACGAATTGAAAATTATAATAGAAAAAATAAATATTTAAAATTTTACCTTTACTCTTATTTTATTATAATATTAATATATAAAATACCTAAAAAGAACTTTGTAAAGGAAAAGTTCAAAAAAATTTAGGGAGAAAATTTTCCTCCAACCAAACACTCCTTGAAAATCCCATAAATCATTGAATTTTTCATGCCATATTATCTCCGACAGGCAGCTAAAAAAACAACTAACCAGCCCCCTCAACTCTCCCAAATCACAAATACGAATGTACCATCCATGTCCAAAAAACAACATTCCTCTCAGGCATTTGATCAAATAGCTTTCCCAGACATAGCTAATTCCCCACGCTACACAGCACACTTCAGTCCTTGAATTCCAAGAAACAGTATCCTTAATGGGCCTGTTGTCGAACTAGCATAATTAGACCGATAACCGGAGATAAGGGGGCAGAGATTGAGATCCGAGATACGTGTTTGAAAGTTTGATTGGTGAATGGTAGCGTGAGATGTCAACACTGCAAATGGTCGATATGATACAACTGTTTGATTGTAGCCAAGCCTTTGCCATTTAAAAGTGGGCTGTCCTCATCAACACAAGGTTGTTAGAACTTAGAAGGTCTGTAGTCCGTAGTATTTGGGCTTAGGAGGTCCGTACCATTTGGGTTCCGGTGTTTATTTTTGAGATTTACAATATAAGAAAACAAAAAAATATATATTTTTCAAGTTACTTGCAAGAAAAATATATAGAAATATTTGTAACAAGTTCGATATATATTTATTAATAATATTTAAGCTCGATATATATATATATATTGTGAAATGCTCGATATTGTTGTTAGCAACAAGCTTGCTAGGTTGCGTAACCATGAAGATGAATGAGTGTAGTAAAAGAGAAATGAGAAACTTTTCCGGAAAAATGTATTTTTATTCCATATAAAAGCTTTTCAGATCTATGTAAGAAAAAAAAAAAAAGTGTAAAAACACCTTTAAAATTCATTAAATTTTCTTAAATAAATTTCTCTTACACATTAATTTATTAAAATTATTTAAATAATTTTATAAATATTCTTCTTCTTCCCTTTTTTTTTTTTTTCTTTCGAGGTGGACTACAAGATCCGAATTCCTCAATTGATAAAAAGAGTTCAGTTTGGATTTTGGAAAATATAATGCTTTAGAGATCGATGGATTAGATTTGTCCTACAAAGATAGACCAATTACTCTTACCCTGATTCTGAAACTATGAATTCCTTATCACTAAATAGCACAGTTGCTGACGGGTCGGCGAAAAAAGGTGCAAAGTCGGACTCTTCTTTTGTTGTGCTGGATCAATGTCCTTTCGATCTTTGTAATTTACTTTTTGTCGGACGGTATTGGGACTATGTTTACCAGGAACGTTGTAATACATTAAGTATCTATGCTATCTCCTT